TGTGTGTGTGTGTGTGTGTGTGTACACATATATATACAGACAGACATATATGGGAGCCAGTTTGATGTAGTTAAGGTATCAGACTAGAAACCGGGAGACTGTGAGTTCTAGTCCCACCTTAGGCTCGAAGCCAGCTGGATGATCTTGGGTCAGTCACTCTCTCTCAGCCCTTGGAAGGAGGCAATGGCAAACCACTTCCAAAATCTTGCCAAGAAAACTTCACGGATTAGTCCAGGCAGTTGTCAGGAATCAAGAGTGATTTGAAGCTGTGTATACTGTATATATACACAGGAGTGGATATACGAAGAAGTGGAACTTGTATATTTGTGGCTGCCATTTTAACATCATGGATCCCCTCATGGATGCCCCTGCTCTGCCCCCACATGCACACACCCTTAATGAAGAGGGAAGAAAACTCTCATGTGGCAGTGAAAGAGAAGCAAGCTATTCCCTTGGGAATAGCTTTGCTTGAAGTCCTGCAGACCAAACAGGGTAGCTGGAGGACCAGATTTGAAGGCCCATTCCTACTTTACTTGGACTACCCTGAAGCAGTATAGTTAGGTAATTGGGTAAATATTCAATAGCGCTGTCAGCATCTTTTATAAACAAATGGGGAAAAAAAAAAGACGGAAAGGAAACGCTTTCCGAAAGTAGCCTTACCACAAGAAGCTTCTTTGCGCAAATATTTTGACACAATGGGAAACTCTGTGAAAGGAGTCAAGATGCCCTGAATGAGTCCAAACATAGAAGACAGACCCAGGGTGAAGAGCATGATGAAAAACAGAATTGCCCATGCTTGGGATCCAGGCATCTTCAGTACAACTTCAGTGAATACGATAAAGGCCAGGCCAGGTCCAGAAGCACTCTGCAAAATTTGAAAACAGAATGGGTCATTGATCTGATCAGCCATACACACTTGTCCATATTACCTTACAATGCAAAGGCAAGTCTTGGCTGATTAACCTTGGCACATTAATGTGGACTACAATTTAGCTTCTCCATCTGGAAAATGAAAATTGGACAAAGACAGATTCCCAGCAGTTTAAGCCTCTCAAACCAAGATTAATCCAAAACAGTTTAAAAGTGGTGTGATGTTTGATTGGATATATCAGTGTGGGGATATGTTTGCTGATATTTTCTTCCAGGACCTAAGTAAATAAGAGACCTTTGTCAGAAATACGTTTCACACAGTTGCTGTGTCCTAGCTTTCACTTTAAGCATGTCTGACAATGGTGGCCATAGAACCATCTCTACAAAAGGCAGGTTGCATTACAGAAAGTCACAAGAACCTTTGGAACAGATCTGCCTTTTTCATACATGATCCTGTTCCCCATCATTTTAACTGGGTAAAGAAATGCTGCCTTTTAACTGTCCTGAATCTCATAACAATTAGTTTCATTATTATGAAAACAAATTATGGGGAAAAAAATTCCAAGCCTGGCACATGTTTTTTTAAATCAATTTCTCATCATATAGCCTTACAGTCACTTTTTCCCCCCTCAACTAAAAATTCCCATCATGCTCCCACAGGAACAAAATATGTACAGTTCTCTTTGGATGTACAGAAGGAGAACATAAATTTAAAATTGTCCTCAACATTTAAAAAAGTACTAATTTGAAAAAGAAAGCTGTGAAAGAAAAGCTGGTCTGAAAACATTTTCCCTAGCATACTAGTTTTCATGTTATACATGCTTGACAGGTGGTGCTTAAATCGGAAAGGTATCCAGGTAAGCAGTAAATTAACAAGAATCTAAGATGTTTATGGCATAGGAAGACTGGATGAAAATGTAAATCTGATGAGTACATACCACCATCAGCTCTATACAAGAATCTTGAATGGAAAATAGCACCTAGAGGGGAACTAGTCAATTTGGTAGTAATACTTGGTCTGTCCAAGCCTTTTCCCATTGCTCTCAAGTGGCTCTCTGAATCTCACTCCAGGTGCACATTTCTCATCATACTCTCAATGCAGACAAAGCCGCTTAGGTAAAAGAGAAAGAACTGATCCCAATACAAGGAATCCACAGGATTCTTTCATGGCAAGACAGGACCTCTCAGTAATGTACTTACAATACCTGATCAAGGAAATGTTGAAGATCACATTTTTTCAGCTTGAGATTAGAAACTGTTGGTGGAGAAATTTTACTCAGAGACTCAAGCCAGACTGTATAGTTCTCTCTTGAAATGCTTTGGTTCGTCAAATTAAATGCTGTTGTGAGTGCTGCAATATTTCTGTCATGGAAGTCCAGAAAGATTTGAATTATTTTCATTACTACCATTCTTAGCAAATCAACTTTTGCTCTTAAAAGCCATCACTTTGAGTTTTCACACTTAAAAGTAGCATCATCCACATAGAATGGGAGTGGGCAACATGAGACCCTCCAAATGTTGAATTACACCTCTAGTGATTCCTCACCATTGGCCTTACTGTCTAAGATTGATGAAATGATGTGTGGAGAGCAACACATAACCCATCCCTATATTATAGGAAACCAAAAGAAATCTAAGGGTATCTTTGAGATTTTAGAAATACAAGTGATCTTCAGAAGATTACAAAATATCCCCCTTCAGTGGAAAAAAAAATCCAACAGATGCTTTGTATATGGAAAATGTAGATCACTCTGAAGAAGACTTTGAAAACCAGATGGGAGAGGCAATAGGATGGAATATCCTGGAAAAAGGCATAGGGAGAGAAATTCTGACATATAAAACAAAGTTAGAGACAGTCATTCAATTGTTTATCTCCCAGTTCACCCTGACAAGAAAACTCTATTTAATAAAACAGAGGGAAAAGCAAAAAGTGAAGGAAAAACCAATACAACTAAATTATATATATACTGTATATACACACACATACACATATACACATATATATATGGGCTTCTCATGCACGTGAAATATGTATGTGAAATTTATACAAAAATTCTAATAGAGTGACTACTTTTCATTGCATTGTCCATACATAATCACATCTGTAAGCAACTCATTGATAAGTTACAAATAACATCAAGTCTTCAAGAAGTAATTGAGGCCATAACTTACATTTCCAGTGTTAAAAGATTAGTCTCAGCAATAAGAAAAGCATGGAAGATTGATTTCCATTAGGGTTAGGGTTAAGCTAGCCTTTTTAAAAGCTATTTATAAATGTTTCCCCAAATAAAAGAGCTTCCCATAGAAATCAATGGAAAAAATCCAGTATTTGAAAGGAGCTTGAGTGCTGGTGCACTCATTTCCTTCTTCCAAAAACAACCTAATGAAGACTTAACATAGTGGAGGGGAAAAAGAGAGAAAAAAGCAGTGGAGACTGGGAATGAAATGGAGTAGCTAGAATCCTGAATAGAAACATCTCACATCACAACCTTTCTTATTCCACCCTATTTCCTTCTCCAACTAGATAATTTTGGACAGACACCAATAGTGAAGCCCCAAAATAGTACCCAATTTAGTGAAGGGTATGTGCCATCATCTTATCTCTCTTCAGTTCTAATTCTGAAATTTCCTTGGGCTTTCACCTTGGCCAGGTGGATGCTTGACCCTCTGCAGTTCTGTGGGGAGGTATAAAAACATCCTTTTTTAGCAGTGCTTACAGAGATGGCTCTGTGGACTCCCTAAGCCAATGCTCCTTTGTTGTTCTCTCTATAGGGAACCAAGGAAGATATGTATTTATCTCATCTTAAAGAACTACCCTGGTAGAGAGCACAATGTCTATCTGTCACTACTTCTATCTGACCAAGGCCCTGACATATCTTTCCAGGTTGCCCAATTTTGTGTTATCATTTGTTGTATCTGTCCTACCTACGGTTGAAGCTTAGCATACATTTTGGTGATTGCCACTGCTATTGTGTGCTACAGTTACTATAATAATGCGTCTTATGTAATTTTATTGCCATTTATTTTATTTAAGTTTTATTAATAATTATAGGTCTATGTGTTTTATTGTTGTGCTTTTTAGTCCATAGGCCATAATAAAGGTTTGGATTTAGTGAAGAATGTTAAATTGAATTCTGGTGAGTGACAGTTTTGCCATATGTCTTCTCTCAAGTTACCTCAAGTTCAGAGAGCTCACCCAGAGATCTGTACAAGCTCTCTGTGTTGTCAAGAAACCTACTCCTTCATTTTAATGAAGCAGTAAACACTGTAACGTATGGAATCATGGAGTTGCTTGGTGCAGGAAATTTAGAAAGTAGAATTTGCCTTCCTGTAACTTAAATGCATATTCTCTCCTCTGATGAAAAAACAGTTTGGGCTTTCTTCTGTGTGGCATCCTTTCAGGTATTTGCAGAATGCTATCACATCCTCTCACCCCAGTTTTCCCAAAGTTGAACATCCTCAGATTCTCCTCTCTTCACAGAATTTAATTTCAAATCCCCTGATCATCCTCACTGCCCTTCTCTGAAGCTGTTACAGTGTGTGAATCCTTTTTAAGCCTTGTGCCTGGAACTGGAAGCAATTATTTCCCAGGATTTAGAAAGTATAAGCCCAAAACTGTGTTTGCTTTTTTTTTTTTTGGCATCCACATTATATTGCTGATTCGTACTCATTGTTTAATACCAAGATTTTTTTCCACAAGTACTATTATCAGGCCAAATATCTCCTATCCTATACCTATGTCTTTTATTTCTGTTTCTTAAATAAATAAAATTTGGTGTTTGTCTCTTTTATGCTTCCTCTGTTATTTTTAGTCCATTTTTACTTTTTTTACTTTTAGATGAACATGGCTGGATTCATCCTTTTGCCTCAAATTGGGCTTCTCTTAATGAGGCAAATCATAGTCTCCTGGTAACTCTGTTGCTAGCTAGGTTGACATAGATCGGTGACCTTGTTTTGTATCTGGATCTTTGCTGGTGCCTTGGTTCTTCTTCCTCAGTGCTATTAGTTCCTTGTTCTATGACTCTTCTTCCTATACAGTATGAAATCATAGCCTTCTGTTCTTTAAAGTTTGGCATACATTTGTTTCTGTTTCTTTGGATGGGGCTATTTTGATTTGAATCAGGGATCTGTAAAGTGTTATTTTCCATTGGAGCTGGCAACCCCCCAGGCCTAACAGCAAAGGTACACTGGCCTCATGAACAGTTCCCACATATTCTTGTGGTAAAATCTCATATTTTGACCAAATCTTGGAAGTACCTTGAAACCAGTTGCTCTCTACACTCAGTTCGGTTTAAGCTGATATTAGGTTTCTAGCTTTATGTAGATTTTATCATAATGCACATTTTGTCCAGCAAAAAGTGATTTTCTCATGTTAATTCATATTAGTCTCTAGTAATCTTTTGTACTATCTTGCTCCTTTAGAATGCTTGAGGGTTCTTTTGTTTCTTGTATTTTCTAATGTGCTGGCAGTAACCTAGGTAATGTAACTATCTGGAGCTTTCTTTATGATAACATAGCCTGTTTGTCCAGAAAGAAGAATTGATTTTTCCTGTGTCTGTTCCAGGTTAGTTACATTCATTGCTAATCTGATCAGGTCATGGATGTTGCCATGGCACAATCATATGTAACAAAGGAAGTGACTGTAATGCAGAATATGTTTTGTGGACGTTTAACAGGGGTGGCAGGAAATATATTTCAAATCAAATTCTTTATTACAGATCATTGACCCAAACTAAATAAAACTTAATAAAACTTATAGAGTAGAGCCACAGAATATAACATACAAAATAAAATAAAGCATACAAGATAGATAGATAAATATATATATATGTATATGTATATGTAATGTATATGTATATGTATATGTATATGTATATACACATACATACATACATACACACACACACAATCATGTTTGCACTATTTTGCTATCAGCAATATACAAGTTTTGGATAGATTATTTTAGTTTTTTGCTGAGTATATAAGCCCCAACTTTTAGATTCAGTCAAGTTTTGTCTCCCTTGATTTGGGGACCTTAATTGGAGGAGGTCCAAAAGTGTTTTTTTGGAAAAGACATTTTCTGTATGTCTTTTTTCTGTAACTATTTGTACCAAGGGATCATAAGTATCATCTCACATAGAAAATAGATATGAATTTTGATAGCACCTTCAAGATGAACCAGATTTATTTGTTCAACTTTCACCAGCGATATAGACTTGTGTATATTTCCTGAAACTATGGGTGTTAGCTAAGACCTCTGTTTATGGACAGTTGGTAGGAAAAATGACATTTGCACTTCTTCCTACATGAGAATAAGCAAGGAAAGCACCAGATAGTACTGGTGAAC